TGAATCTTTACTGGTATATATAGGGTAACTCAACTGAGAGGAGGTTTCCCCATTTCTCCCCTATTAGCTCAAACTGATTCCAACCAAAAGCGAAGAAACTCAGAAGCCAATTAAGCATTGCTAATCAGTCCAATTAGAACGGATGGGAGTTCAAACAGGCATAAAATTACATTCACCTTACATGACCTAATTAGACTCAAAGCCCCATCTGACCAGCTGCCAGACCTACTTGTTCTCTGGGAGTTTCTTCTGCGAGCTTTGAATCGAATTCCTCCTCAGTGTTTGCAGCCAATGTTCTTCTTGTTTTAATCAATAAGACATTCAACTGGTCTTATAATTAAAGTTGACGTATCCCACCACTCTGTTTTTATATTTTCTGTAATAACTGCTGTAGTTTTATCATGGTTACTGCTGTATTTGAACATCTGCAGGAAACATATTAGAGATTAAAACTGAAGTTTAAACAAAAAAATTAAAGCTGCTGCCATTTCTTTGGATAATGTTGCCTAAACCAGCCGTACTCAGGGAATCCTCCTTAACACTTTCTCTTCCTCTGGAACATACGCTTTGTTCCTTAATCTCCATTTCTCCATACGGCTATCTGGAGATTTGAGAGGATGTGGTTTTTTGGGGATTTTTTTTTTTTTTCGTCTGGTCACTCCTCAGCTGTGACATATGGCTTTTAGAGGAGGGCATCACTCAGCAATCAGTGCTCAGACAAGCCAATCATGTAGGAGAACAACAAAAAAACGGAGCCATGTAAAGGCCTGATAGGACAAGCAGCAGCTGGCAAACTCCATCAATCTGTAATAAATGAACCGACTGGTAGATGGGATTATATGCCTAAATGCACAGCAAACCAGTCACTCCCGAAACGACCAGACAGCATCAGCTTGTGTCCATGACCCAATACCAGCGACATGCATTAATCTGGGACTCTGAAAATGATTAATCATTCATAACCTGCCTCTGTAGCCAAGCTGTGGAGACATGGACACGAGCTGCAGCTTAATCTAAGAAATAAAATAGTTCTGCTTTTATTAATAAGTAAGACATAAGAAAATATGTCACTTAAGATAAAAAAAAAATGGCTGAAATCCTGCTAAGTATATTTATCGTCACTATAAATTTAGAATTATTTCTGATTTATTTCTTAATTCTCTTTACTTTTTTAATATAGTTAACTGGAATTTTTGTGGCTAATTTAGATTTTTTTTTTTGTTTGTTTCATTATATTTTATTTATTTATTGTTATTTAGACAAACTTGGGTCATTTTCTCTTTTTCTTGAAAGATTTTTCTGTTTTATCAGATTTTTGTCATTTTACACATAAAAGCTTATAATTCCTAACACTTTCTCTCAATAAACAAATCAACCAACATATTTGGTGTACATTTAATAAAATGAGAGATAAAGATTATGGCCAAATGCTTTGATGCTTAAATGAAAACATTAATTTTCTGTTGAATTCAAAACTTTAACCTATAAAGGACATTATTTGCCTCTTTAATTTGCTGTAATTATTTAATAAAATATTAATTATTTACAATATGAATACAATAAGAGGTTTTGTGCTTCATTTGTTTGGTATCTAAACAATACGCAGCAAAAGATCCAAATTATCAGCTTAAACCTGTGATCCAGGGTCGAGTTTAAAAGCTAAAAAACACTGAAATGGCCCTTTAATTCTAAATGAATGTGTATTTTTGGTTTCTCTGTCAGTATAGTTTAAAAACTAAAACTATAAAATTGTCAGGCAAATATTGATGCGGCAAAAAACTGATAGTAATGATGATTTAAACTGTTATTATATCTAAAAATGCATTTATTAAATAAAATGTGGAAACAGAAATTAAACTTCCTATTTTCTCACAATCTAGACTATGAAGATGATCTATTTTACATTACATTTAAATTCTAATTTCTAATTATATTGCTTTTTTATTTGAGTTTACTGATAAATGAATGCAGTTTAATGCAGCAGAACAAATATAACAACATTTAAACTTTAAATTCAAATATAAAAGATTGAAAAATCTGTTGACCTAAAATATTGTTAGACTTCAGCACCAGCAGATGGAAACAACCGACAGACGCATTACTTCTTGCATCACTTCACAGATCAATTATTAATTTGGCATCATGTGTTCACCAACAGAAAGACAGACATTAATGCATCCTGAAGTGTGACTCATCAGAAACAGAGCTGCAATAAACAAGCATGGTGGGTAGGTGTTAGCGCACGGTTAGATGTTCCAGGAAAGATCTTTGGTCCATATTGTTCAAAAGCCATAATCACCCCCTGATGTGCCGGTTAAAATCCCTCAGGTTAAAGGCCTCACTTACACTTCTTTTGCCTCAGGCTACTCTCTGATTGCTGCCCCTCATCTCACAGAGGGCGGCTTTATGGGAACCCAAGGAGATATTCAGGCAAAATAAGTCAGCCTCATCTGCAAAGATGCTTTTTATCTCCAATTCACCAATCTAGTAAGTTAGAGAATAATCCAGCTGTAAACATGTTCTAAAGTTTTTAAGTTGATTAATTAAATGCTGATGAAGAAGATTTTAGAGTAAATTTCTAAAATGCAACATTTCCATTGTTTGCCAGTTTGGGAGCACAGACCCATTTCAGTGTCCCTGGATGTTTGTTTGGGTCATCAGCTGTGGCGAGCCGAGCGACCAGATGGTCGACTTTTGGTGTTTGTGACACATGGCTCTGAGGGAAGCCAAGGCCAGATCGCCCGGACCGTGATAATTAAAATTTCATTAGGGTTTGTTTGTGTGGGTGTGTGCTGAGAGTGGGTGTTTACCAGTCTGTAGGGGTGTGTCTCTCTGTGGGTAAAGATGCTGGGAGTGGGGACTCCACCTGCTGCCACCTGTTCATCTTCTCCATCCTATAAAAGGAGCTTCTCCACTGTCTCCAGGATCATCTTTGAGTCCTTGGACTATCTGGAGGACCGGCTGAAGAACTTTAAATCTGCTACTGGAAACTTTTCCGTCTCTGTTGGCTGCAGCCATGAAGTCCCGTCGATCCAGCTGCACAGATTCTGGATCCGAATCTTCAGAGACCGACTCCAAGACCCCAGAGAAATTTGAGACGGCAACGAAGCGACGGATGGCGGCCAATGCCAGAGAGAGGAAAAGGATGCAGGGTCTGAACACGGCCTTTGACTGCCTACGGAAAGTGGTGCCACAGTGGGGACAGGACAAAAAGCTGTCCAAGTATGAAACCCTGCAGATGGCCCTCAGCTACATCGTGGCCCTCAACAGGATCCTGACAGACACCAGGAGGCACGCAGCTCCGCACCATCAGTGGCTGGACCTGCAGCCGGAAAACTACTCGTGCCTGATGAGGTACGAGCATCCTGCAGGGCAAGAGTTCCTCCACTCATCCTTTCCTTACGAGTTCGACGGCCATCACCTTCATGCATGAACCTCTGGTGGACAATCGGTCATGTTGGTGGACAATGTGAATGCCTTTCTTCTAGTCTGGAAGACAGTAAATACGTTTGTATTGCTTTATTTCTGTTCTGTATTTATGTTGCAGTGATTGATTTTATTTAAAATCTTTTACATGTTTTTTAATATAAAAAACAAGTCATGTTGAGCAAATTGTTGTTCAGATAATCTCCAGAAAAAGAGCTGAAGCATCATTTTACCCGAATGAAGATGTTTTAACATTGATACATCCCCCCCCCCCCAAAAAAAAAAAAAATCTATGTGGTGCAATCTTTGATGAAATGTGAGACAATCATTGTGGTCCTACATGCAGAGTTAAGATGCCACGTTTGTAGAGTTTAAATATAGATTTTATTTTTTTTCACAGACCTCTATTTTGTTTAAAAGATCTTGTAAAGAATAAAATTATTTTGTAAGACACCCTTCTCCTTTTCGCTTTTATTTAAGTGCCACAAACTGAATGTATTTAAATGCTATATAGCAGAAATACAGATAACAGCAGAGATGGATTCATGACCTAGGATGGGCAGGTGGGCGGTGCTTCTTATCTTGAAGTGGTGCCTCAAATTTTAAAAGTCAAAAGATGATTTCAGTATCTTGTTATTGCTTTTATCGTATTTAGAGGGAAGAAGTGTTAATTAATTAAATAAAAATCTCAAAAATGTTCTGTTTGTATTCAATTTTCCCATTTTTTTCCATGTTAATGGTACAAATTTGGCTCCTCTGCAAATATAGCTGATAAAGATGGACGCTTTAGGAGGAAATTATAAAGGGGAATTTTTTATCCTGTTAAATGCAACTTGTTAGCAGAGGCGATTCTAGAGTCTGTGGGGGCCCCAAGCAAAAAATCCTAGGGGGCCCTCCTGACCAGTGTTCATCACCATTATGTTAGGCTATAAATAATCTGACACCAAAGAAAAATGTATTAAATAAAACTTTTTTTATTCCAAATGTTCTAAACATGAACAACCTTGTTATTTTGGAAAATATAAAAGAATAAAAGTAAAGAATAAACTAATAAATTAAAATAAATGTATAATAAAAAAAAAACAGTAAATTACTTTAAAAACCCAATATAAACTTTGTACAAAATATAAAGTATAGTAAGTGTAGTGAAATTATTGGGGTCTATACTGCTTCCAGAATTGCTGCTTACAGGCCTTGGCTTGTGCAAATGCAGACACTAAGTCCTCCAGATCCAAAGACCTTCGCACGCTATACTCTATAGAAATAAGCGCCAGTCCTGAAAGTCTCTCTTGAGACATGGAAAATGAATCATTTTCCTTCAGCTTAGTTACATAATTGCTTTCCAATTTACTGAACGATAGGCCTACAACGTCACCCATTCGCTAGGCTACGTTCATTTTTATTAAGGGATGTCATCCACCTGGGCTGGGCTGGATTTTGACTGGCCAAAGCCAATGTCAATCAACATTCCATCCAATCGGAATTTTTTAAATGCAGTTGTGCATCTCCTCAGTCACTATAGCGTTGCCACTTCATGCTCGCCTGTTGCTGTTTATCTACCGGATGTACAGTAGCTGGCTCTCGGGGGCCCCCCAGCGGCTCGGGGCTCCAAGCAGTTGCTTGGTTTGCCTGTTGACAAGGTGCGCCTCTGCTTGTTAGGTGCGTCAAAAAGGTTTTTATGTTTTTATGAATCATGTTTTTTTGCTTCCATTTTGATTTAATAGTAAGCACCAAAAACATACAGCAATCTTTAACAAATTTGGTAGAATACAGCAAGAAAGTTTTTATTTGTTAGGGTTGTTAAGTTTCCCCAACTTTAACCTATAAAGAATGAAACAAAGACAGTGTAAGATTTTTCCAGACCGAGCTTTGCAAAGGGAAAATACAGAGCTTTGGGATCTCTCTGTGCATCTTCGTCTTGCTCCACGCTTGCAGGCTTATTTATTGAGCAGTCAACACATTACAACAGCAGGTGCTAGTTTCGATTACGCAATCTCTTAGACATAGCATGAACTTTTAAGATAGGGAACATGTCTGGTTTCAGTATATGCTTTTAAAAAAGGTGTCGGGGGTCATAAACTTTAACTTCTGTGTTTCTCAAATTGAAAAACAGGAAAGCATTCTCGCAAAACATTTGACCGTCTTATGACGCTGTTTCCACTGATGACAGTATCATAGAGAAAACACATGATTAAAAGCAATATAAAAGATATAAATGAATAAAATGATAAGAACAACAGAAATCATAAAACAACAGAAATCATAATAACTTCAACACTATTGTATTTGCTGGAGATACAGTTTCCTACACCAACAAAGGAGTAAAACAAAATTGCTCTTATAGTGTTTAACCCTTTATAGTGCCCTCAGTGTGATACTTTGAAAATAAAAAATTTAAGCAAATAGTGTTATTGGAATCCAGGACAAGACTTTATTACCTTTGCAACATTAAAAAAGAATACATTATTTTGATGGCAAAAATTAATGTCAATGTAATAACAAGAAACGGCAACTTGCCCGAATCTATTAAGAAAAATAACAAAAATAACAAAACTGCTTCTATAAGAAACCTAAACATAATTTTTAAGGAGGCTAGGGGGGACTCCATTTGTAAGAGGTATGCAAGTGATCAAAAACGCTAACTTGCCCTATAAAGAGTTAAAGAAAAATCCAACTACAAAGTAGAAAAGATGCACCAGAAGGTTGGGAATCTGTCTACTCTCCTTTGTTTTATT